CTGTCCGCTGCCGCTGCCCCGGCACCTGATCCATGGCGGTCCCTCCGGGCTGGCGGTTGCATCTCATTCCCTGCTAAGGTGATACGGGAGGGGACACTGCGCCCCGAGCCTGGCAGAGATGAATAGGGCTGCTTTGGGATCGATAAGAAATTCATCAGCTAATTCGGGGTACCCGGTCTCCTAAATCACATTTAGCTCTGCTCTGAGATTGACCGTTTTCCCACGCACCGATGGAAAAAGGAGCCCGTCCGCCAAGCAAGAAATCAAGGACTTGATGAACAATTACAAAAGCGAATTAGCCCAAGTCCTAATGCATCTTCGCCTCGCCCTTCTTGTAATAAAGACGCTTTAAAAGCCGGAGCGAACCAGCAGCCTTTCAAAAGCTGCCCCTAATTCCTCAAATTCGTGTTTAAACCCGAAACGCGCAATGAGCTCCTCGCGAGCCGCAGGAAAGCCAGCAGTAGGTTTTTTCGGTGTCAGTGCTGAGATTACACAAACTAAAGCGATAGCGGGACCCGGGCTCTCGAATCGCGGTAATAACGCCCCTGACCCCCCCCCCCCCCCCCCCCCAGCCCCTGCCGCTCTGAGCTTGCCAGCCACCTCAGGGTTTCTGTTCTGCAGTTTGACAAATTGACTCTCATGAGTTCACAGTGAAGAAATAAAGTGTCTTGGAAGGCTCTGCTGACCTCAGAATTAATGAAGTAAAGACCATCGATTTTGCTGGGGATAGTGCTATGTCAATTAACAAACAAATTACTTTGTTACATGTATGATTTGACAACAGTGAGAAGATCTGAAAGGCATCTAGAAAAATACAAGGTGGTAATTTCTTTCTCAAATCAGGGTCTGTAGTGATACCCACTGCATTCAGTGCATGAACTTCTCCCAACTGCAGTACATTGCAAGGAACGAGAGGAAGTCATTCTGCTGCAGACAATATTTCCCCCCCCCCCCCGCCTCCCAGCTCAGATTTTATCTCGAAGTGATGATAAAGTTTATCGCATCGCAGGAGGAGTTGAGCTAAGGTCAAATCCAAAGTATTTCTTTTCGGCTATAAAACGGTTTTCTGGTTAAGACCTTGTTTCCACCCTTTTATTTAGGGTTCTGGGGCTGTGGGTGGCTTTTTTGGGTTTGTTTTTTTTTTTAAATGCCTTCTGGGACTGTGACCTGTAGTGTTTGTGTCAACTACATATTCCCCTAGATACGAATTTGTGACCCAACTTCCTTTACACAAATTCGGATCTACAGGGTACATATAGAAGACAGATGCATCCTCCTTGGTCAGAGATCTTCGCCTACCGCCATAATTATCTTCTGGGGAAGGGGGGCGGGGGGAAGTTTTGTGGCTCGAGAGATCAAGAATTAATCTAAAGATGGTTAAAAGATTCACCCTTCAGAGGAAAGACGATTAATTAAAGCACCAACTCGGTATCCGAAGAGCTGACGCTAGGCTAGAAAAACTAGAACTTTTCCACCTTCTCCTCCATCCCTCCCGCATCGTTTTACCGCTGTGCTAAAAAACAAAAAAAAAATCAGCTCCTGGACTGAATATGTAAGTGCAGACGCGCAACGAATCCAAATAATCGTCGTTTAAAAGCAAAATGCCGTAGCTCCGTCCCGCTCCATCCTGAAACCCTCGTAATTACTCTCTGAGACGCAGCGCCAAGATTTCATCCATTTTTCGTTCTTGGAGGTCAACCAAGGTTTGGGTTTATACGGGCGTGTGCGGATAAATTATAAAAAAAAGGGAAGAAACAGATGAAAAGAAATACAGAATGTAAAGGCAGATGGGACGACAGGTTTTTTTTTTTTTTTAATGACAGGCAATTCTTTTTACAACCCGAGAAAAAGATCAAAGGCGTTTCATTTCCGAAAAAGGGATATAAAGCAATAAAATATTCATACTGTCTAGGTAATGAACCTTCATTCGGAACTAATGAGGGTAGCATCATGTTGAGATTTCGTTTAAAATTACAGTTGCCCAAGAGATTAAAAGAAAAGCATCACTATTTCGTCCTCCCCCCCCCCCCTTTTTTTTTTTTTTTTGTATTTCAAAAGGCAGAGCGTTTTTTGGTCAAGTATCTCCCGAATTAATTGCATTTAAACGCCACAGCAGAGAGGCTATCGGAGAAAAGCTGCGTTTCCCCTACATTAAAATTCCTGAAAATTATCTTAAATATATTTCACAGACTCCTGCGTTTTACCTAACGAAAAATAGTTACGGCCGCGAATGCACGTCCCGCAGTTTTCCCGGACAGATGATGCCCCGAGATTTTTCAGGTACTTTAAGGTGAATAGTCGGTTTTCCTGATAAAACGTATAATTCCCAGATAAAGAGAAAAACGAAGACCTATTTTAAGAAATAAGCCCAATCGCACCTAGGACAATCCCCAAACCATTTTACACGCCTAAAGAAAACCCAGGTTTCCAGCAGAAGACGCAGAGCGAAGCGAAGACGCCTTTTGCCCGGAGCAGAGAGTTTCCCACCGCCCCAAACCAGCGCCTCCACTTCGCTGGGGAGCAGACAAGCAACTCTAAAATTTACCTTCCCCTCTAAAACCTTCCGTAAAAGTAAAAAGCCAAATCAAATCTGCTTGTACAACGTGTAGATGGATGCCATAAAATAATTCTACAGAGCCAATCCCATTAGAGCTCTCTCTTCTTTTTTTTTTTTCCCCCCTTCTTAAATTTTATTCCCCCTTCCCAATACCATCTCCCATTTATTTCAGTGTATTTCCTCGCGGCCGGTACCGTAGCGGTCTCCTAACCGAGGAGAGGAGCCTCAACAGCAATAACTAGGCCTGTGCCGTATTTTTAACCCCCTCCCACATCCTTTCAAAAAAAAAAAAATAGAAAAGAAAAAATCGGTTTTAATTTTCCTTCCCAATGACACAAGGGGTTCGGTGCTAG